CGAGATTTTAGTATGAAAAGAAAAACACAACAGTTGCTTTTATTTGACATCATCAAAAGATGAAAAGTGACGAAATTAAAATTTGTTAAATGTCAATTTTTTAAAAAGTTCAGATTTTAAACAAACAAATATAACAAAATATCGATCGATAAAAAATAATTATCACGAAACATGAATATTTAGTAAGGACAGTTCACAGCATATCATAATGACTAAACCAACATACCAAACAGAAATTATTCATGCATGCATATATACAAAGTAAATCAGGAAATATCCAAAAATTATATAACCAAAATAAGAAACTAGAAACCAGTCAACATTTTACAAATAAATAAATAGACATTATTAAAAAGATTGTTCAAAAATGGTAAAATTTAAGGCGACGACAAAAAAACCCTAACCGACCATCATCTGACACGCACCGAGGAAATGAATTTTACCGGATACTGAAAAACAAAATTGAAAGAAAGTTAAATTTTTAAAATAAAAAACAAGCCATTGAAAAAAAGTAAGAAGCAACTTATCTTACCATGAGATTACCATCATGAAACGTGCTGACTCCCACCACAACCCACCTCTGATCATTCTGTAGACAAATTTTTTTATTGGCTTAGTAGTAAATGAATGTTAAAACGAAAGAACAACCGAATAAATGATTGAGCGAATGATTGAGTGATTGAATAAATTAATTAAACAATCTATGATTCAATGAATGAATAGAATGAGTCAATTAATTGATGAATGAAAGATTGTGTGACAAAATGAATGAATGAAAAAAATAAAAGCAACGAAACTAAACCATACTTCAAAAATCGGCGTTGTTGTTTTCTTCGAGCTGACGCCCACCACTGCCCACCTCTCATCAGTCTGTAGACAAGTTATTTTTATTAGCTTAGTAGTAGATGAATGTTAGAATCTTAGAAGCAAAAAATTATAAAATGGAAATAATGGCAAATAAATAATATTTGAAAGTAATAAAGAGAGTAAAATGTAAAAAAAACTTACCGTCGTCCATTCGACAAAGGCAAAATGATGAGTGCCTTCCGTTTCCTGCGTTGTCCTCCAAAACTGGTGCCAGTCCTCCTCGAGATTGTTGTTGAAACACAGCCCGTGGAATGGAGAAAGAGAAAATTCTCATTAGCAAGCTTAGCGGTGCCTGCAGCTTAAATTGCTTAATAAAAATAATCCTATCTACCTATTCAATTACCTTAACTAATCTATAATAAAATGTTAATGGTACGATAGTCGAAAGTTCCCCTTCATTCTCCCTCCTTGCACAGAGGTTCACCGACAGCCAGGGCACCGGATAGTAAACCATTGCCGTGCGGATAGTAGACTACTGCCTTGCGGATAGTAAACCATTTGCCGTCCGGAAGCCGTGCGGGTAGTAGACTATGGCCATGCCGCATAGTAAATCATTACCGTGCAGATAGTAAACCATTGCCGTCCGGATAGTAAACCATTGCCGGTTCACCACTGGCCGCCAAGGCTTACCTCTGACAAGAGACTTCGAAATTCAGAGTCTATCGGCTATCGTACCCTCAACTTACCTATTCATTACAATTAAGCCCTAGCTTACCTAAAATTACAAAACTCAAGAGCCCAATTCATTGGCCTTTCGGCACCCACCCCACCACCTACGTAATGCCTTGGGCTCCAACTTAGTAATAATAATATAAAACTTAAACCCTGAATCTATTAATGAGTATGTGTTACAACGTAGCCTTAACCTTCCTATTCATTACATTACGGTCCTAGCTTACCTAAAATTACAAAACTCAAGAGCCCAATTCATTGGCCTTTCGGCACCCACCCCACCACCTACGTAATGCCTTGGGCTCCAACTCAATAATGATAATGTAAAACTTAACAATTAACCTACCTATCGATACACTTACAGCGTTTTAATTTACATTACAAGATTTTTCCTAGAATTACATTATTGCTCTTAACTACCTATGAAATTAAATTACTCTCAACCTTAGTAATAATAAATTAGAATGTGTAATGAAAATAAAATTACGCTCAAATACTAACATATGTGTTTATGTATGTATTTGTGTGTGTGTGTGTAATACGTTGGTGCGTGTAATGTGGGTGCAAGATAAAATAGAAGAGATAAACTTACGCTGCCTACCTATTCAACTACATTAGTGTTGGATGCTCCCTATCTATCCTACCTACAATTAAAATTATGCCTATCTAACCTACCTATATAGCTACTTAATGTAATTGTGTGTGCGTGTGTGTGCGTGTGAGCATTCCTACTTAATGTTAAATTACAGAAAAAAAAAGAATAAAACGTATCCCAGTCAGGCAGGTATTCTTTGCCACTGAATGAACGAACGTAGCCTGACATCTTCCATGATGAACTCCTCTGGAAGCTTCAACCTGAATGAAATGAAAAAATCCTATTTATTTAATTAATTTAAATGAAAATAGAGAAACGAGCCGCGGTGAAATCCACCAGCCAAAAAAGACAGCAAACTGGCAAAAAAAGAAACCGTTAAGAAACCGTAAAGTCGGAAGTTAGGGTTAAGGTTGAACGTAGGGTGACATCACGACCATTCTGATCCTCCACGACGAACTCCTCTGGAAGCTATAACCTGAATGAATGAACCTGAATGAACCTAGATGAATGGAAAAACCTTATTTATTTAATTAATTTAAATGAAATTTGAGAAACGCAAAGAAGCCGACCGGTCGGCAAAGAAAAGAACCGCAAAGAACGGTATCTATATAGGATTTATGCTCTATATAACTCTATATAACTCTATATAACTCTATATAACTCTACATAACCATGCATACTACCACACACATTCAATCAATAAAAATCCCACTAAAACCAGGAACCACCGCGTACCTGCTGAATGTATGATTTGAAACAAAACAAAAAAAAACACAAAACAAAAATCACACCACCAAGTAGAGTAAAAGAATAGGAGTCCCTAACCTACCTATGTAACTAAATTACCTTATGCCCTAGCCTACCTATATAATAAATTAATTTTTACCTCACCTACCTACTATGCTTCATTAACTTAACTCAAGACTCATGAAGAAAGAGAAAAAGGAGTAAAACAGAACATAAAATACTACCACACAAACAAACATGATGTATGTATGTATGTATGAGCAACCGCTAAAGAACCCACCTAAAATATAAAAAATACAACATACAAACACACAAACCACAGACATGCAAACTCTATATAACTCTATATAACTCTATATAACTCTATATAAAATAAAATTAAATAAAAATAAATAAATTAAAAAAATATAAATATAAAAAAATGAGATCAGGCACTCCGACTCGAGCGAGGCAGAAATATACTCGTTTCAACCATACATTTTCATCATTTCAATCATTCACATCAATAAAAAACTTATTTAATGTATGTACTACACTATTATACAGTCTTAACCAAAATGCTAACCGTACTAAATTGAAGTCATCGAACGAACGCCTTCGAAACATTCTGGTTGGCGGTTGAATCTGCTATATTGCTTTTCATATAAACACAATCTAATATAATATAATTTAATTATTTGTATACATGGATTCCAGTCACTTTATATATATATATATATAATAAAAATTCATTATAAAAGCAACAGTAATCAGTGCTATATATGTAAGCACGCAGCTCAAATTTTTCGGGGAGAATTCAAAATTGTTTGAGACCACACCTTGCTTAACATCCAATTCCAAGCCGAGCCAAGCCAAGCTGAGCCAATATGCATAAATTCATTATAAAAAACAACAGTAGCCATTACCATATATGTACGCACGCAGTTCCAATTTTTCGGGGAGAATTCAAAATAGTTTAAGACCACACCTTGCTTAACATCCGATTCCAAGCCGAGCCAAGCCAAGCTGAGCCAATATGCATAGATTTATAAGCGCTTTTATATTAAAATTTTGCTCGCTTTTTAAACGAATATTCCAATATAACAAATTCTCCATCCTATTTTAACTTTCTTTGATGCTTTTTAATCAGTCAGGTTGCAAAAATCATTAGTGATATCGCAATGAAATCAATTTGAAATTTTATTTTAATTATTGATAAAATTTTTAAATTGTTGATAAAAATAACTAGTATATATAGTGTAGTAAAACGTTTAAAATTTTCTGAGAGAATTTAAAATAATTTGAGACTACGCCATAACACAATTGTACAATTTGAATGTGTAAATACAACATTATAAATGTATTATAACTACATGTCTATCTCTTTATTTAGTTTTGCCTGTGTATATTTTGTCAAATTTATTTGATAGGAATTGAATATAACCTTTATACCGGCTGATTAACTACCATGCAGTAAAATAACTACTGTTGACACCATTTCCTCCAACGATTTCGCAACGAATTGCCCATACCATATAATTAGAATAAACTCTTTCAATCAATGTTTAAATTTTTATATTGTCATTTATTCTTTCGTTTTTGTTTCTGTACTAATTTTCGTGTCAGATACAATAATTTTGTTTTTAAGTAAATTTTCATTTTCGTAGCTATACACAAACATGCCTACCTGTTGCATTAAAAATTGCATTAATAATAAATAGAAATGAGAAAATTTCTGATGCATCTTTTCACAGGTTTATTTTCAAATTAACTTCACACTAAAATAAATGTAACAATATCCCTATACTCGTTGAATAGAACTATTTTGTTTTACAATTACATACATTTTATTTTATAGACTATTATAATTTATAATATAATGCTATCATGGATTACCATTTTATTATTAAAAGCAATACTTAAGAAATGCACAAGTTTCTGTAACAGTTTACAAAATTTCAGATTTCCTCAAAGTGTAAAAATGCAAAACGATTGGATTAAGTGCATCAGACAGGAAATAAATGATTTCAAATGGCTTCCATCAAAAAATGCAAGAATATGCAGTGACCATTTCTGTAATAAAGATTATAAGGGTTATGATGGAGAAAGGAAGGTAATCCTGAAGAAAGCATTCCCATGTTTTCAAGTTAGTTGGATTTATATGTCATCAGTTACACAAGGAAGCAATTCACATCATCATTGTACATTGCAACATTATCTATACAAAAAATATAAAATGCATTCACCAATATTCCATGTATTTTATTAAAACTTAGAAAGGGCATAATGACATTGTGAATAATAAACCCTGTTTAGGACTGGGATCATCATCATCATACCAATCACCATTACAAGTAGAGTCAATTTTATATTAATGCTTAACAAGTTAACTAAATTGGCATAATCAAGTTTTTATATGAAATACACATCAAGTATTTAATGTAACAAATAAATTAACAGAAAAATTTCTGGAAAAGTTTAAAAAAATTAGAACATATGACTCTGATCAAAAATCATTCGCGTTGACACTGCATATGTATGGGCATAAGGCATATGATTATCTTTGGACAAATGGCTTACATCTTCCTCACACTAGGACATTAAGAAAGTAATCTTGTCATACCTGTTCAATAGTTTTAATAAGATTGTTTTAAATAACTATTCTCAATGTCATTTTATTAACACTACATTAAAAGGTGGCTACAAAACATTGATGGTATGCCTGGGATGATTTCTACAAACCTTATTGACTAATGGTGATAAGGATCCTCTGGAACTGTAGGGTCATGACATTCAATCTAGTCATTGATTGAGAAATCAATCCTTGATATATTTGATAACAAACATTTATTATAATATAAGAATGAAAAAAAGATGTAGGTGTAAGGCAAAATCTTACTGGAACTATTATTTTTAGCAATTTATGATTTATTTTTTTATTTATGACTATCCATTTTCAATGATACCAATATTTTTAATTATTATTATCCAAATTATACTCATGCCTATATTAATTAATTTGATTGTGGCTATTTCTATGCTTAATTATTTTATTTACTTGCCATAGGTATGCAGAGCATTTAATAAATTAATGATAATAATTAATAACACAACATTCTAAGTGCATAAAATATAATAAATTAAAAGTACAATTTTTACAAACCTCATTGGTTATGGTGATGGAGATTCTTTAAAACTGAATGATCATGATCTAACAAGTCATGGATTGATGAATCACTGGAATCACACATTATCTTTAATAAATTTAATAACAACATGTACTACAATTTAAGAATGAGGAATATTTTTGTAAAACATTAAATGAAAAAAAATTTAGTTTGAATCACTCATAATTAATAAATTTTAATTAAATTGCAAGTTAGCTTGGGGAGTTTGAAGCTTGAATTGAACAAATTACAAAATTGTTTATTTTATAAAATTGATTAGTAAGTTGTTTAATATATTTATTTAATTTAGTATATTTTTTATTCCCAGACCTAAGCATTGTAAATAAAAATTTTAAAACCAATCAAGCAATAGAATTTAGAATCTTAGGAACAAGTGCTGTTAGTCGTTAGTGTAGTAGTAGTATGTATTAGTGTAGGTAGTGGTTGGTAGTTTCTAGTAGTCTAATCTGTTAATGTTCGTTAGTGTTATCTGTTATTTATTTCAATTAGTAATTAGAATCAGTAGAGATTAGTTTTAGTTTAATTATTTATTAGAGTTTAGTTTAGTAATTTAATTACTAATTAATCGTCGTTTAGTGTTGTTGGTGGTTCACAAAAAATTTTTTTTATTTAAAAGGCAAAAAGATACTTAACCGTCATACAGCAATATCTATCCCAAAAACAGCATCTAATATCACCTTTTAAAACATTTTGAAATTTTAAATAAAAGCAATATTCCGAAATTAGTAAATATACGATCGTAACTTTTGACTTGGGCGATAAAAAATTACCCTCCAATTTTCCTCCGGAAGTAAGCTCCTTGTTCGACCGTCAAAAATGAGCGAAGACCGTTATATTTATTCTAATTATATGGTACAAAGCATAAAATTCAGGTTATGTTTTGGTTCAAAATCGAAGATTTGAAGAACCTCAGGGTTCTATCCTTGGCCCTCTTCTGTTTATACTCTACTTCTGAAATACATCGTATTATTAATAATTTTTCTTTTACTAGTCAATGCTGTTAGTCAGTGCTGATGATACTTATATTTATACTTCTTTTTCTCTATCTAATCATCTAATCTCAATAGTGTTCATTATAATCTATCTCTATGTTTTTCTTCAATTGTCGCTTGGTCTGAATGTGTCTTAAACTTCTAAATTTGAATTAATTTGTTTTAATAAATCTAAATGCTCAATTACTATGCCTTCTATTATCTTACGTGATTCTAAAACTCTTGATGTTTCTCAAATGTTTCGTAGTCTAGGCTTTATCTTTGATTCTAGCACGTCTCTTTCTTCTCAGATTAAAAGTGTTGCTAAAAGTTCATACTTTCATCTTGGTAGAATAAAAAAACTTTTGCCTTCTCTTGACGATCCTACTCTCCTACTTCTTGTTACTTCTTTAGTTTTATATAGTATTGATTATTGTAACTCGCTCTACTAGGGTCTTCCTGGTTCTACACCTTATAGGTACTTTGAATAAAGCTTTTAACTCTGCTGCTCGTCTAGTTTGTCGTCTCCCTTTCTTTTCTCGTATATCTCCATATCTTGTTCTCTTGCACTGGCTATCTATAAAATGTTGAACAATTTTTTAAATTTGCACATTTATGCATAAGTTTCAATCTAAATTATTTACTAAGTACTTATCAGATATATTAATTGAAACTAAACGCGCCGGTTTACGATCGTTTTCTTGTTCTCACTTTTTCTTAACTAGTGTTAAAAACTCTTTTGCTGAATCTGCATTTGCTTTTTTTAGCTCTTTTCTCTGGAACTCTACCTCCTTCTCTGACTACTTCTCCATCACTTACGAAGTTCAGAGCGGATCTAAAGATCCATCTGTTTGCAAAATTCACTGAAGACCGCTGTTGAACATCGCGGAAATAGCGCTTTAAAAACTAATTGAATGATTGATTGGTTGGTTGATTGATTGATTTATTGATTGACTGACTGACTGACTGACTGACTGACTGACTGACTGACTGACTGACTGACTGACTGACTGACTGACTGACTAGTAAAGATTTTAAAAGACGTTAGGTTCTGTTTGTAAAATTAGTTTGGTTGGCCATAATATTTTTACAATAGCGCATGGATATATATATATATATATATATATATATATATGTCTATGCAATCGCATTATGATATAAACATGTATATAATGACCAACGATGCCACATTTTTGCTCGTAATGAAATTTGTTGATCGATCGAGGATTTGAATGAATTGGTCGAAATTTTTTCCAAATTATTTAAAATAAATTAAATTTATTAAGAAGATGGATGAAACATACGATTTGATTTTTTTGGATTCTTTCTCACACGACAATTCGGAGGTTTGTGTTGCCTGTTGTGTTGCATTAATGATTAATCTAATCTAATGAATTAAAACTCTGAAATGAATTAGTAGTTTTATTTTAATTAATTTGTCGGATTTTACTTCACTCACCTATCTTTCAACAGTATCACCTTTTCTTTTATGAAAAAATTAGAATTTACTTGTTGAAAACTGGTTGCATTGCATTGCATTTTTATATTGATTTATTTTTATTATTATAAAATAAAAAATTTAACAAAATTTTCTTGACTATTGATCTCTAAAATCCATTATTTAATAATTATTTCAACAAATATAAAAAATAAATGAGCCTTAGTTAGGTTAGTGACCAAGGCCAGGTATCTGGTTCGTGGATTGGCATTGAGATACATAAAGATAGAGATTTTTATTTATATTATTGCATGCTTGTATTATAGGAAGCATATTTTGTACATATAATAATAAACCTTGTTTCTTTATTCATATGCATATGAATATAAAACATATACAATACAGTTATTTATATATAATATATATATATAATATATATATATCCTAAATCTCTAATCGTAATCTTCTCTGGCTTATGTATTTAAAAAGTTGAAAATTGATATTGAATAAGTATTTTAAATTAATTGGGAGTTTTCACTGTTTTTGTGTTGCTTGGCCAATCATTAAATTCTTTGGTTGTAGTTCATTTCCAAACATGACATGTTTAAAAAACAATGGTGAACAATGTTAATGTTTACTTTTTGTATGTTGCAAGTTAATAAATACTTAAATAGAAATGTCATGCTGGGCATTTGCATCATTCAGAGGCTCTCTTTTTCATTAAAACTCAGAATATCTTGCATTATTTTTTTAATAACACAAAGTAAGCAAAGAAATATTTTCAAGTAGCACCAAATGGTCTGAAAAATTGTTAATGATTTGTTATTTACACATTGATGGATGCTTAATTTATACGCAGAGGAATTCTTTTGTTATGTTTATAATTTTTGTCATTTTTTAATATTTTTTCTTGTAAATTTTTTTTTTAGGATTTAAATTTGGACCTGGTTCAGTTTTCTAACTCAGTCATTATCCAAGAAGTAAGAATTATTCCAAATAAACTGAAAGTTTTGGTTGATTTTCCTGGAAAAGTTACTTATGGGTGAGGAAGCACTTAATATTTTGTTGTTTTAATTGGTAGTATTGAGGGTTTAGCGAGAAGTTCAAACCAAACTGAGCTGTATTGGTTGGAATGTTTGAAATGATTGTTTTCGTCATCAGTGTTTTTGTTTTTTTTATGTCAATTTTATGTTGTTATTATTATTGTTATTATTAAATAATTTGCTAACAAATCGTTGCATCACAGGTGTACAACACCTTCCTCTTTCAAAGTGGAGTTTTATGTGAACAACCTTAGTAAGCCAAATGCCTCAACTTTTGAAAAGATTGGCATGTAAGTCTTTTTTGTTTGAATGAGAATTAAATGCAAAAATTTTATTAATAATTCTTAATGAATTTTCCTACAATTGTAAAAAATGTATTTTGTAAGTCAGCCAGATTTTACTTTGAAATATTTACATTGCTGAATAGTTGTTGCCTGTACATTACCACTGTTTGTTCCAATCTTGTGCTTTTTTCACATGCATTAAACTTTTATAGTTTGTTCTGACATTTTTTCAAATTTTATTCAAATTAAATTTTGTTTGACAAATTTTTCTTACCTACAGATTAGATTATCATGAGAATGGTGAATATGTTATAAAGTCTGATCAAAAGGTTTCTTTTTTTTTGTTCATATTTTTTTCATTTTAATTTTAATAATTTTTATCAACCCAAAAACACAACAGCAGTTTCTTTCAAGGCATCCAGCATTAGATAAAGTTTTTGTTCAATTGGTCCTCTCTTTTATATTTATTTAAAAAAGTTTATTCACAAATATAAACAGAATGCAGTAGTTTTTGTTCGAAAGTATATTTTTTTAAGTACTAAGTTTAAGAATTTGCATAAGATTGGTTTGACTCTTTTTCCTGCTCCTGCCACTACTATGTTTCACAATCCAATGATTTTCAGAGTTGAAATGTCATTGCCATCAAAATGAATGTCTGAAAATATTTTTCATTTTCTCAGTCAAAACTTTTCAATGAAATCAATAATCAATGCAATTTTGAAAACATTTATATTTGATGATCATCATTATGTGACTTTTAATTCGGTGAACGTTGCAGAAATTGACAGACGGATTGATAATAAAAGGCTGGTATCAGAACATAACACTTGCCATATATGGCACGTTGACATCATTGAATCAAAGCACCACCTCTCCTCCACCCACGTCTGCCTTCAAAGCCAAGCAGCAAGGTACGTTCCATCTTTTCAACTATTTCTTATGTTTCATTTGTAACCACCATTGATGTTGTAAGGAATAATTTGAAACATTATAAGGACATTCCTAATTCAATAAATTTGTATATTGAATATATTTGTAGAGTGATAACACTTTTATAACCTAGTGTTTAAATATAATGTATACTGAAATAAAATATTATATTTGAGATGATTTAATGAAAAAACACCACAGAGTCAATAAATTTAAATTAGTTTTTTTTCGTTTTTTTTTCATATTAAGTCATTGAAAAAAGAATTAAAAACAACTCCAAAGTTGCACTATGTTTTTTATGTGCTCAAGTACAAAATAACTTTAAGGATCCATAATTTTATTTTTTTGCATAATCATTTGCCTGTAACTTTGGTTATACCATTTGACAAGTTGATGTTTTTTCCCTTTACTGCACTTATTGTCTAGAAGTTTTGTCACTATAGAAGAAATTGCTAGATGAGCTAAGTGTGGAAAGTTTAACATTTTGTCCCATGCACCTATGAGCTCTGGGCAATTAAGTTTGTTCTTTCTTTTATTTGTTGCTGGGACTAAGACAAGTACGAGTGACATCAAATAAGTACTTTTAAATTAATGATATTAATTTAGCAATAATAAAATGTAAAATGGTCACAGGCAGTGACAGATTATAAGAGTCACACCTGGTTTATCTAAGTCTCAAAAAATCTTAAATGCAAACGCACAATACTTTTGCACAGTGGTGTATGATATATTTCTGAAACAAACATGGTCGTATAATACAATGTATTAAATGAATAAAATTATGTATATATATATATAATAATATAAAATAATATAATACTTATTATTTTAAGTGGTCTGTCAAGCAGTTCAGTCGAGCAGTCCGAAAGACATCCCGCTGGAGCACAAGGGATCCGTGAAGGACCCGCGAGATAATCACGATCGACTGGAAGGCGTCTTCAAAATGCCCGAAAAGAAAGATAAAGTTTCACGAAAAACAAGCGGTTTGTACATTAGAAATCTCTTCAAACTTTTATATAGCTGAATCTGAGTTTTCGCAAATTAAAGTACATGTAACAGTTCTTTGAAACGTCAGTCCTCTGCTCCTTGCAAAATAAAATTTAGTCTCTCCCAGTGTAATAGATACATCTGTAATATTATGCAACTATTATTAAATTTCAAAGCATTGTTGGTGTTGTTTGTGAGAGTGGGAGAGTGGTAAGGATGGAGATGTTTGGGAGAGATACAGGGACTGTGTGTTGGCTATGGCAGATAAAGTATGTGGATGGACGAAAGGAAAGTGTAGGCATGGTGAGACGTGGTGGTGGGATGAAGATATAAGAAGGGTTTTGGAAGTCAAGAAGGAGAGGTTTAGGGTATGGAGAAGGGACATGACGGAGGAAGCGGAGTCTGAGTATAGGAAGGCTAAGAAGGTTGCAAAACAGGCAGTGGCAACTGCAATGACGAAAGCATCAGATAGGTTAATGAAGGAAATGGAATTTGATGTGAGTTCGAGGAAAATGTTCAAAGTAGCAAAGCAGTCAATGAGGGATAGGAAAGATGTTATAGGGAATGGATGTGTTTGGGATGGATCTGGCAAGTTGTGCATAGATGAGGAGGAAAAAGCTCAGGTGTGGAAAGCTCATATGGAAAGGTTGATGAATGAAGAGAATGAGTGGGATGGAGATGTGGAATCCGCGGTCACACACGGACCTATAGAGAAGGTGACGATGGAGGAAGTAGAGAAAGCAGTTAGAGAAATGAAACTAGGTAAGGCGACAGGGGTTTCGGAAGTGGCGGCAGAACAT